TTAGGGACACACTGAGCAAAAAAAATCTAGAAATGGCAAAACTTTAGAATTTAGAGCAGGCATTGAAAGCAGAATTTAGAAAGTCATCAGAATTTAGGATTCACAGAGACTGCATCAGGTGGCAAAATGCCTAACGCCAGCTCTGTGTATGATGCATTAAGACATATTAGATGAATCCTTTGAATTTTTCAATTTCTTTATTGATAAAAAATGTATTTCTATAATGCCTGTCCATATGATAAGATTAGAAGTACTTTTGATATTTTCCATGCTTGTATCTAGTGAAAGTAGAGAGAGAAATAAAGGGAAGATAAAAATGTTAAGAAAGCGATTCTAGAATCGGAAGTTAAACATTCAACTATTATGTTTTCATTGTTATTCCAGATGTTCTCCAAAATGTAAGAAGAAACTGCGTGTTACTACCATGGAGACATTTTTCTGGAATCTTTTAGAATCATGGGTCTATAAATTTGCCTTGAAATCTTTCTAAACTTTCCACGCTTCAAAGTCTAAAATCCTAAAGAAAAATTACCAATTCTGTAACAGCAAAAATCCAGAAATGTTTTTAGAAAAAATCAGAGGGAAAAAAGTGTGAAATTAATTTTATAGAGAAAACTGATACATATTCTAAGAATTCTGATCATTCTGAGAAATTTGAAAACTTCTTACCATGCTGTGGTGTATGGTGTATTTAATTATGGCAAAGCACACTAGGGCTATCTGCCTAAGGGGAGGGATGCCTTTCGTGGAGGACTTTCTAAGGGAAACTGGCTCGTATACACATTACACATGGGGAAAACCACGAAAACGCCCATGCAGCCAGCCCGTTCGCGGGATTCGAACCTCGGACCGAACTACCAGTGTTCAGCGACTTTACCGCTCGGCCGCTGGTGGGCCACTTCTTACCATGAAAAAATTCAAAAGACATTTTTAATTAATTACATAGCTATTTTGCTTTTGCTAAAAACTGTTTCGTAAACTGTGCTTTATAGCATTATTCCTTGCTTAATTTTCAGATTCAAAAAAATTGTATAATATGTGGCCAAAATGGAACTCTATAATGACAGTGAAAAATAAAAATGCTTTATTTTAATGTTATTTCTTAAATATAATTCCAATATATTACAGTCAAAAGTCGTTAATTCGGACACCCATAACCCGGAATGATCTATAATCCGGACCTCAAAGCTAAAAACTTTCTCCGCATGCACCTCGTTGACACATGCGCATAGGCGTTTACGCGTGCGCGTAAGACCTTTACTACTGCGCATATGTGTGTGCGCAAGCGCAGAATACGTCTTCGCGTGCGCATTTTATGTATAACGGACGGTATAAGCTAAAATTTTCTATTTCAGTTAATGTTGATGATTGCGTTGTTCCTTAATCTTCGAATTATTTCCGACTTATTACTTTTGTAGACTGTAAGAGCAATTTTACAAAAGTAAACCTGAACTTTCGATTATGTCAAACAGAATTTCCGATACTGGAGCTCCCAAAGGATCTACAAAACAAAAGTATGTTCCGATGTCCATCAAACAAAAAGTGGAATTGCTGCAAAAAAATTGATAAAGACATGAAGAAGGTGACAGAGAGGTTAGTGAAAACGAAAAATTTTCGATTGACAAGTTAGTCGGTATTCTTGGGACAGCAATTACGGGACTTGAACAGCGGAACTTTGTAACTGAACAAGAAATTATGTCTGTTTATAGAATTAAAGAGAAAGTATTATCACATAAAACGAAGCAACTTAAACAACTTACATTGAAAGAAATGTTTAATAAAGTAAACAAATAAATATTAAGCCTTTTTTTTTTTTTTTTTTTTGTAAATTTTGATACCTTTTAGATCATACTTGTTCTTTATTTCATAAATTACAGTTTCATATTTTTAATTTTATAATTTCTGCATGACATCTTTCCAGATTTAAACTGATGATCTATAATCCGGAAAAATCGATAATCCGGAATCGCCGAAATCCCAACGAGTCCGGATTAACGACTTTTGACTGTACCATTATTTCAATGAAATTTATCAACGTTAGAATGTTCTAAAAAAATCGTCAAAAAATTGCCAGATCTCGGAATTAAAAATTTTGTATAGAAACCAATCTTAAAATTGCCAAATGTTGATAATCGCCAAGTTTAGAGCTGTTTAACCCTAGAATGCTACCCTTCGAAAAACTTACGGGAATGTTAACCATTCGTCTCTCAGACTAAGTATGTGTAGGTGTGATTAAAACCTATTTTAAAAGCTAATAAAAATTAAAATATACTACCTGAAGCTGATTTCATGACTCTCGATCTTCAAATAAGCAAGAAAGTATGATTCATTTATTTTCAAAGCAATCTTTACACATATTAGCGTGATGTTCTCCACATATAACTCTGGAACATGTTAGACAAAAGTTGCGAGTCATTCTGCACAAATTATACGGACAAAATGCACAAATTTTCCTTTTTTTAGTTTCAGATTGTTCGGGTGGTTTAATGTTTATATCCAATTTTAAAATTTCACTTATAACAGTCCTTGTTGATTGGGGCAAAGTTGATATGTTGAGACGCTTCTTCATCCATGGAGCAAGAAGATTTTCACCGAGCTTTATCGCAAAATTTTTTCTGGATAATGCTTTTTCCGATTTGCGTGCCATATTATGCACATATATGACATGTGCATTCACTAAACAGATATTTATCACGCCATAAAAAATACAAAGAGGCCATCGGCGTGTTTTCCTACTGCATGACATATTGTTGCACATCTGATCCAAAGTATCTACGGCCCCTTTTGTGGCATTATAAAATTCTATCATTTCCGGTTTTCTACTTTTTTGATTAACATTTGGTTTTTCATGGAAAGTAGATAGAAGAATAATGCACTTGTTTGGTTTTGTTTTGTATGACAAAAGAGTTTTTGCTTGGTCGAATCAATACATAGAAGTTGTAATATTACGAAAGCGCAACTGTAAGAGTTCAGGAATTTCTCTTTTATTTTTTCTGACAGTTCCAACAACTGTTAAAGTCATTGGACTCATCAGAAGTTTTTCAGCTAAGGGTATCGACGTAAACCAGTTATCCATCATGACATTTTTATTTGTCCCTTGAATGTTTTTTGTTAGTTCTTCTACGAAGTAAGATGCTAGAGGAATGCCTCCATTTTGAGTATTTGAACCCAAATATAGTATTGCATTTAGCATGTACTTCGTTCCTACATCGCAAATCATTACTATTTTGATGCCATATTTTGCAGGCTTATTCGGTATGCACATTCTAATGGGACATCTTCCTCGAAAAGCTAGTAACTGTTCATCAATAGTAACATAGGATCCTGGTTTATAAGAATCCATACAATTCTTAATGAATTCATCCCAAATCTCTCTGGTGCAAGTTTATCTTTTTCTTTTCTTTCATCTCTAGTTTCTTTAGAGTAAAAACATAGACAATTCAGCAAAAATCGGAATCTTACTTCACTCATTCCAGCTTTAAAACGCGAACCGCATAAAGTAGCATCAAATAGCTCATTTGTTGCTAAAGGAGTAAAAAGTTCTTTTGCTGAGTCTTTTGGACCTTGAAAAAAGTGAATAATATTTCGAGCTGCTGTCCTTGTGTTGCTCGATTTAGGGACAGATGACCACTTTGATTTGTTTTTACCAGTGAGCTGAATTTTGCCTGGATAAATAATAGTTTTATCGCATGACTTAAAAAAATTCGGAATTTTTTCCAACAATCACTTTTATCTGGTACAGTACCAATTCCTGATTCAGCTTCATTTTTCAATTTCTTATTTTCCTCTTCTTGGATTTTTTGCATTGTTTCCTCATCTTCTTTATTGTCAATTGCAAATTCATCATTTTCATCTCTGTCAGTATGTTACTTCGTGATTTTGTACTTCAATAAAATCTTCATCTTCTGATTCATCCCCAGAAATAGAATTTTCGTCATTGCTTAACTCTTTTAAAAGTTCCCGGATAGTCTCAGATCTACCCTAAAAATTTTCTCCACGGAAACGCTTTGACATCTTTACAGCAACAGAGGAGAAAGACTAAGTCGGAATCAAGAGTTCAAACGTTACAGCTAACCATTCGTTTGGGAGACGAATATTGTTCTGAAAAAGCTATGTGCTAAAATATTTCGGCAAGATGGAACATCCTTATCTGTAGTAGCCAAGGTCATATGAAGGTACTCAGTCGCACAATCCATTTCGTGATTTAGGGGGAATGGGTCAAGATTTTTTGTAAAGGGCTTCGTCCAGGAGACAAATGGTTAGCATTCTAGGGTTAATAAAAGAATTCGCATCCCTAAAAGCGGAAAGTTGTTTGGGAGCTCTTCATTACAAAAAAATGAAATAATTTTGAAATGTTTATGTTTCACTTCTTTCTCAGAAACTCGAGTATCCCACCATTATTTATATTACAAATAGGAACAAATTATAACTCATGAACCCATTCACAAAATAGCCATATTTGCCAGTGAATCGCCAAAAATATTATTGCAAAAAGCTAATTCACACCCAAAATGGCAGTCGTAAAAACAGACAGAAGTTTCAGATGATTAAAATTAAGGACCTTCTGCCGATTTTGGCCAAAATTAAGGACCAAAAAACAATTTCAAAAAACTTAAGGACTTTTAAGGACCGTACGAACCCTGGAATTGGCTAAAGACATTTTCAGATGCATCTTCTTTTTATGCATAGCAGTAGCCATTGACAAAATGTTCTCTTTAAAAAGAAAAAAAAAAAAAAAAGATTCCAAATGCCGAAATGGTGTTCTGGGGTGAAACAAATGAAATATTAAGTGGAACAAATAAAAAACTTAGAAATTTAAAGAATAAAAAGAGTTCAGGTGGTTTGTAAATCGGGTTGGTGGAAGTCGGTCAAAAATTGGGAGTCTCGTGTCTAAATTAGAATAGGCAAGTCCGCAGGTGTGTACATGTGATAAAACTTCAGAATATCATAAAATGCTCTAAAATACCACTTTATTTTTTTATTTTCTGCATATTACTTACATTATATCCAGATTCTTCCTCTTTTTGAAGCAATGGTCTTACTCTTGCATAAACACACATACTTTTGTCTTGCATGCTTATAAATTCACTTTCCAATTTCCTACTAACTCCTGCCATATTATACTCAGGAGAAAAGTAAACAGCTGGAGACAAACTCATAGCTTCCTGAAAATAGATAAATTTTACAGAACATATTATTACATTATGCACCAATTTAAAAAGAAAAACCCGATATGGTAAGAAAGTAAGTTTTAGATGTAAAGTTTTATAATAAAGAAGCATAGACCGCCTTTAAACAATTTTACTACAGCGATGATTGAGATGAGATGATCCCTACCAGGGTAATATAGATTTTAAAAATTTAAGCGATGAAAGTTAATGGATGTAAAAAAGTTAGGTGATATAATTTGACAATAGGTTTATGGTGGTTTCCTTCTCCTTCTGCCTGTATCGCTTGCAGTAGGAGTAATATTATGTGAGCAAATTTTTTAAGTGCTAACAAAGAGTATTTATGGCAGTCTGAAACTAATCAAAACATAGTTCAGATGTCACCATGTTTTTTCACTATGATGCAAAAAACAAAATATTGCTTGCCTTAATATTAGCATTTTTACACATCGAAGGCTATTACTAAAATGACATTTAGTTTTTCATTTTGATTAAAAACACATTAACCCTATGAAAAGCAAGGCTTTTTGGATCTCTTTGTGAAGAAATGTAGTTAAGCTAGATTGGTAAAATTATCATATATATTTGCAGATCAATCTATATACAAACAAAAACAAAACAACATAAAACATGAAATGAAATCGATTTATACGCTCATTCAAACTTTTTCATACGATTTTAAATACAGTTAACTTCATAATGTAGGTACCTATGGTTCTAATTGGAGAAGTTATACAACAAGAATCAGCATAACGTTTGTAAATTTTGCAGGACTAGTTTCAGTGGTTTAAATACACAACCATTTTCTTCAGCTGCTCAAGTGCAAATGAACAAGATAGAATATTCTATCTCATTCATTTGCACTTAAACAACCGAAGAAGCTGGTTATATAGTTAAACCATTGAAACTAGTCCTGCAAAATTTACAAGCATAACGCTGATTCTTGTTTAACTTCTCCAATAATAGCTATTCCGTATGTTATTTTAACCTAAACTGTCTTTCTTATTAATAGTAACCAATGTAAATAAATGGTGTATTTATTAATACTTTATACTAGTTATGTTTGCATTCCCCTTGTTAAACGGCCACTGCACAAGACTCTGACATTTCAAATTTGCAGGTTACAGATTAGGAAATTAAGACAGCCAATTTTAGCGACTAAGCACAGTGATTAATTTAGCAAGGAAGTACCTGTTCATCATATATAAACATTTTTTTAAACAAACGAAACACAAAACTCACATTACTAAGTAAATAAAACTAAACATTACAGTTAAATAAGAAAAATAATTTACTTTAGAAAAATAAAAAATAAATAAATTTTAAATGTTCTTATTGAAAAAAAAATTTTCTGATGCCGAAATCTCGTCTTTGCTACGTACCATTTTGCAATTCAGTATTAAAAAATTTAATATAGTTATTTTCGAAAAATAGATTAGAGCTGTTTCTGTGGTAAAAGACACCTGTAGAGATTTTGTCAAGTGTTCAAGTGGTAGATAGACAGTAGTTTCCTTGTTATCCAATGTGGTCAGTTTGCGCATGGTCACGTAGGCCAGTGGTCTCCAACTCAAAGGGCACATGGACTGAATACACAATCTGAAAGCAGCCGACAGGCCTTTCTTTTTCGAGGGTGATTATAGGTTTTTATTTACAAAATATTTATCAAAACCTACATAAACAATAATAATGACAATGATGGTACAAAGAAAAAAATTCAAATTAGTATTTATTTTCTATCTAATCTAAAGATTGTAATCTGCAAGCAATTTCTGTTGGTTATAATTTATAATTCAAACATACTAATGGTTAAATATTAAGTTTGACATTTAAAATAACTTTGATATGTTGAATTAATAGAAAATTATAAAAACTTTCCAAGTGGGACAAAAACTTGAAAATAAATAATGACAACCTATTATCTTTCTTTTCTTTATTCAATTTTTCTTTGCCATACACTGAAAATATACTGTTACAAATTTTGGATATATGTTAATAATTTGAGAGAAATTATAATACTGCAATTGTGAAATTGTAATAACTTTTGTATAATGTAACAAGAAAAGTTTGAAGAGAAAAAGGGTTAGAGAAAAGAGAAGGGTACCCCTTGTATTATTACAAAATTGTTTCATTTATCACCAAGCTGTTGTTTCATTTATGTTAGCCTGAGTAGTTGAATGTTATGGAAACCCTATTATGATGTAATTGGTTGCATGATTGCGGTACATTTCTAAGGGCTTGTGTGTGTGTGTTGGTTAGAAAGTATATTGCTTGTTTTGTGGTTTAGACGGTAAAATCGCTGAATGTGGTAAGATTAATTTGTATGATTGGAAAGAAAGGGAAAAAGAGCATTCCTTAACTGATGTGTAAATGAAGGTTTACTTGGTAGCCATTATTAAGTGTCCTGTTCGTAAGGCTGCTCCTTTAACTTAAGTGAATATAGTTTGAACAATATACATGGACAAAGTCAAGGGAGTGCACAATACCTAGTTTGTGCAATTCTCCGATGTTTTTTCAAGTGAAAATAGGTCGCTGTGTACATAGTTAAAGTCAAGGGTTTGTGCAATTCTCTGATGTTTTTTGAAGTGAAAATAGGTTGTTGTGTACATGGATACCATTGGTCTTTGTAAATATGATTTGTGCAATTTTTTGTCTTGTTATTTTGGCTTTGCTTTGTGCAATTTTTAACTTGTTATTTTGGCTTTGTGTAGTGTTGATTTTTACGACAAAATTCGCCGCTACACAAGCCAAAATAACAATATACTTATCAGATTTTTTTTTACACTTAATTTCAACAATACATATTCTGAAACTCTTCTTAATAACTTCCTTAAGTACGCATCTCATAGAATTTGCTTTACAACACAGTCAAAACTCGTTAATTCGGACACCCATAATCCGGAATGATCCGCGTTGATGACTTTCCGTAAACTCTCCGTGCATGCGTCGCATTTATTGGCAGCAATGCAGGCACACTCCTTACGACTATCGCCACACATTTCTCGGTTAATGCATTTCTCGGTTCGCGTAAGAACCGAGAAATGCATTAATTATTAACACATATCTTGGTTCGTGTAAGAACTTTACGGCTGCGAATATACGTGTACGCATGCGCAAAATACATTTACGAATGCGCGTTTAATGTATAATGGACGGTATAAGCTAAGCTAAAATTATCTAATTCAGTTAATGTTGCAGATTGCGTCGTTCCTTAATCTTCAAATTGGATCCGGCTTATTATTTTTTGCAGACTGTTAGAGCAATTTTATAAAAGTAAGCTTGAACTAAGTAATAAAAATGGCACATGGTGCCAAAGGACAGGTTTCAGTCATAAAAGCCACACTGACATATTCCTGGACTCGGGCAATGAGATCCCTATAATCTATATGCCCAAAGATGCAATTACTAAATTACTAAAACAGTAGTTCCATATAAACTATTCTAGACTTATATACCAAAAAGGAACGAGATAGAATCTCTAACTGACCTAATTCCAACAGGATCAATTGAATGCTACACAGATGGATCAAAATCCAACTTCACCAGAGCTGTAGATATTATAAGAACCAAGGGATCTGGAGATTTCATCTATACCTTGGTAAACTAATAACTGTTTTCCAAGCCAATTTTCTGGCAATCAATATGGTCGCCAGGAAGCTCTTAGCTAAAAATACGGTTGATAAGAATATATATATTCTTTCTGACAGCCAATCAGCCATATTTGCCCTGGCTAATCGTGTCAAGTTACAGAACTGTGTTTTTGAACTTTACTCCAGATCTCAGTTCTCTGGCTCAAGCAAATAACACCATTAGTTTAGTTTGAGTCCCAGGTCATTGTGATTTTGCTGGAAATGAACTAGCTGATTAAGTAGCAAAAGATGCTTTGCAACTACCCATGTCCGGCCCAGAACCATTATACCCAGTTTCATATCAAACTGTTAAAAAAGAAGTAAGGAGCTGGATAAAGAAGAAACATGATGATATACGATCTAAACTACCAGACTGTGCTCATTCTAAATTGGTACTCAGTACACCTAACTTATCGGGTAAACTCATACACCTCAGTAGAACTAACGTCAAGTAATTCAAATTGTTACCGGACATGCTTATCTGGCCAAGCATCTCGACAAATGTGGTCTTGTCGAATTTCCTCTTTGCCCAACTTGTGGAGAAGAAGAGGAAACACCTTTTCACTTCCTGGGACGATGTCCTGTGTTTTCTGTCCCTAGAAACAAATTCCTTGGGTTTCCCTATATCAGCTTCAATCAAGCCCTTCTATACAAAGGACTCTCTGGCATAATGGGGTTCTGTTGTATATTAAACACCTACAGCTAAGGTGAATTTGAAACCACAAGAAACAAGCATTAAGACATCCTGAGACTTTTTTTTTTCTGTGTGTGTCTAAAAGAAACTATGCAGGGAATCTCCCTCTCATAGCTGTGTTTTGGAATATAATTTGGAAATAGATATTAAATCTTTATACACCACCTGGCCACTTGGCTTAAGAAAGTACGTACCTCTGCACTCCTTATTTAATTTTTTTTTTATTTTTTAGACTGACCATTGCATCCTTGTTTGATCAAGAGTTTGCGTTTGGTGGTTTGGGAGGGACTGAATCGGCTCTTCATCCAATTGAGAAGTTTTAACGATTTAACCGACACGTTGAATTTAGAGATGGAATCTTTTGCAGATACTATATATTTGGTGTCAGTTTGGGATCTTATCTACTCATTTATTATTTATCTTTCACGGGAATTACCATTTAAAATCTTTGAATTAAATGACCAAATGGCGGAAGAGCAATGGGCAACATTGCCTAAGTTCTTCTCCTTCTTTTCATAAGACGGAAGAGCCACTAATTTTATGTTATCATGCACAGGCATAAACTGTAATTTTTTTTCTAAGCTGAACTGTGTGTGTCAGCCCTGGTAGCACATGCAAGGGGAAAGGGAAACCCTGCTCCTTTCTTACATATATATGTAACAGTCTCCAAATCAGTTTAAATTTGATACAGTACATGTCTGACTTGCAAATTAAACAACTTATTGCATTGACTCTTCCCACACACAGACCAGAATTTTTTTTTTTTCATACGCTAATGGCCCTTGGCAACCAAGTCATTTTTGTAAGTGGTCCTTCTGCTAAAAAGGTTGTGCACCCCTACTGTAAACACTCAGGTATTTAAAACAAGTTGAAAATTCTATAGATGGTAATACAAGTTTGCTAGTTCTGTTTTTGAAAGTGTTACTAAATGCGATTTTATTGCTAGAATTAAAAAAATAAAGCCAAACACAATACCTCATCGCATATAATAAGCAATAAATATGGGTATATAATACAAGTATATAGTAAGTAATAAATTATTTTATTACTTGTTATATAACACATATCCTATAATAAACAGGAAGCAATAAAATAATTTAGTCAATTAAAAATCTTTATTTTTTAATGAATTGTAATGAAAGCCTACTTAATTTTTTATAACTTTGTATATAGATATAAACTATTTTTCTTAGCTAGGAAAGAATTTGGCAAAGCGCAGTAAAATCAACTTAAGGGCTGGTATAGGCCTTTCCTAGAGAAGTTAGCTCGCATTCAGATTACATAAATGAAAACATAAAAATGTCCAAATTAGTCAAATGAGTCAAAATGAGTTCCATAAAATCTTTTTGTCAGCTAAAATGCTACATCTTAAATTTTAAAAATACTACAGTTTTATAAACCAGTGGTATCCACAAGGTCCTTGTTGTCCATATCACATTGAAAATTCTCACACCAGACATAATACACAATAAAAATGAATCATTATTTCAGGACCAAATATGCATACTACTCCTCGACAGCCGGCCTCCGTTCTCTTCCTGCATTTCTCAAAAAATTTCTGCTAATGGTGCCACATTTATTGGCAGCAACGCAGGCACACTCCTTACGACTATCGCCACACATTTCTCGGTTTCTCACAAACCACAGAGTTTCCCCTCAGTTCCTTTAATGGCAACTCAAAGGAACAATATCAGATTATGAAATATTTCAGAGGATCTGTGCTGTCGAGTTTTTTTTTTTTTTTTTCCCCTTGATATGTGAAAAAGCAAATTTTGAAAAATATTTTCAACTGTAAAGTAAGAAGAGTTTCTTTGGGAATTGAACATGCCTTCCCGATCTTGTGACAATTTGTGCCTTGAAGTTCCTTAGATCAGATTTATTCTGTAAACTGCCTTTAAGTCTGATTTCAGTTCAGGGAAATCATAGTCTGAAAGCAAATAGACTAGTTTTACACGGTTCATGGACACAGTAGATTTTAGGCCATTTATTTGAATTATGAAAGCTTTGTCCATTCTCGTAAGGGTTTTATGTGCATCTGAGTATGGCTGGCACAGTGTTTACACATGTGTACACGATTTTTAGTTAAAACTTAAGTAATGCTTGTCTTGACAATGTCGAGATCTTGCTGTTGGGGTTATTTGCATCATTCTAAAAAACAGATTAGTGATGAATTGAGTGTCACATGGAAATATCTTAGATAGTATTATCATATCACTAGGCAGCCTGACAGCTGGGCCGTTTACGAGTTCTGCAGATTAAGTGCCTAAGTAAGAAAATATTTATTTGTTGATAAGACTACTTTTCAAAATATTTTAGGTAAAATATTAACAAAACAATTCCTCAGTCTTTTGAAATCAAAAGCAATTACTTCTCATAACAATTTTTCTAGTCTTAGAAATTCAAAATAATTATCAGTTCACAAATACATAATTTTTAATTTTTAAAACTCTTCTGACAAGGCAGCAAAATGCTATAGTATAAATAGCATTTTGCTGCCTTTTTTTTTTAGTATAAATAGCATAAATTCCTTGAAGAAAATATTTAAAATGACACAAAAAATATAAGTATTTGAACCAGATTGAACGTAATGAACTTAACAAAATTAGTAATATTAACAAAAAAAAAAAAAAATTATTTCGGCGAAGATCCAATTTTCAATTCCGGAAAATAAGCAACATAAAATTTGTTTTAAGATACTCGATAGTTAATTTTGTACAGCATTTAAATTTCAAAGCCTGTAAACACAAGTTATTCAATATTTTCTTCTAATAAAATGTTTAGATTGTCAAGAAAGTTATAACTAATAAGCCATTAATATCATGTTTATGGAAGCATATTAAATGCACATTTTACAAAAACATGAAACTAATGTTAAACAATTAACTTGATCAATACCGAAAAAGGATCTTAAAAATCTTTTAGTTCACATAAAATGCTAGTAAAAATCATTTAAATGTAAATTATCATACTTTTTTAGTATAAAGCGAGATTTTTAGCATAAAAGCGACAGAAGCAATTCATGCATTTTGAAAATTGCTACTTTTACTCGAAATATCACACTGTGCTTCTTTAATTTTATAGCATAATTGAAAAACACAATTAATATTTACCTTTTAAAATCGAAAAATCTTGAATACACAACTTTGAATAACTTTTTGAACTTTGAATAATGCTGACACGTACTCGTATTGATGCTTTAATATTACAGTCGCTTAAATTCGCGCCACCTTTCGCATATACAACGTCTTTTGCGTGGGAAATCAAAGGAACGAATCACAGCCGACTTTACAAGAATGAAAAGGAATATTACATATTGGTTGCACGGCTGAGTTGTATTTATTCTGATAAACGTCGCCTCCAATTTTACTCTCTCGCCAAAAATCACTCTACGACGATGAAGATCGTATTTTAGGGCGCTCGTCGAGATGGAAAAACAAGTCGGTTTCTGCGATCTACCAACACCGACTCTCTCTAGTAGAGTCTACTAGAGAGAGTCGGTGTTGGATCTACTCGACAATGAGCAAGTCTAGTGTCATCACAAAGATAGACTCGTCGGAAATTTTTCCGTCAGCTGTATATAGCTTCCGACTTTCTGACTGTCGTTTTAAAGCTAAACTGAAGACGGCGGAGGTCACGGATAGTTTATGGAAATGTACATAATGGATATTTTAATTTATTAAGATTTGCAAAAAAACTTGAGTGTTTCGCTAATTTGATGCTGAAGATTCTACTTTTATTGGATAATTTCAACTTACCGAACTCTTATCAATAAATTAAGGCCATACTTTACCTGAGCAACCACATCAAAGACAGCAATAACTCCTGAATTAAAGGTAAGGAATAATTCGCTTTTTTTTTCATATCAGTATGATATAGGCTTCTGACTATTGGTCTATCAGATAAGCAATTCGGATTTTTTCTGTTTCGCCGGCGCGAATGTGTATACTGTATGTTGTCGCTTGGCGACAACATACAGTATACACATAAAAAATGTTAACAATTGTTAGTTCTAAAAATTTTTTATTTTGAAGGCATAAACATTTTAATATTGTTTAAAATTTTGTAAAAAGCCAATAAATTTGTAAAAAGACATTGATTTAAGAATTTACTATGCTACCATGGTTCAACATCCTGATTTGCTGGTTCGTATCGCGTGACCCCAAATGATCTCATCTCTCATAAACTACGCTACAAAAATCTAATTCTCTCAGTAATTATCTACATTAATTTAAAGTTAAATCTTAATGTGGAATACAAGTTTAAATGCAAGAATTATTTCAATTCCTACGAATAGCTTACTCAGAAATTAAGTAAAACCGCGTTGCTTTACTTCGCTAGTGCATTCTCATTAGAATTGATGAATTTAACCCTTGATTTTGCCTTTTCTATATTTTCGCCTTCGGATGAGCGATGTGATTGCATCCTAATTGACTTTAATTACTGCGAATGGTCTTAGGGCTTAAATTTAATTATCTTTGTAAATATTCTATGTAATTGTATGCCAGTATTGAAAGAAACAATCAATCTGGAAAGAAATGGCTGCGACTTGTTTTGAAATTGAGGCGTAAAAGGTTACCAGCGAAGATATTCCGTTTGGCATCAGTTGTACCATTATTGAGGCGTAAAAGGTAACCAGCGAAGATATTCCGTTTGGCATCAGTTGTACCATTATTGGTGACTTTATCGTTTGCAGCGGCAAAACGGAAAAGTACCAGCAATTCCTTAATTTAATTTTTCTGAAATTAATATATTTGGTGTTTTCCTTTTTCACACATAAAGAAAGAGGGCATACTTTTAATTTAAAATTGTAATTTTTAAACTAATGTCTATATTAATGAACTTAATTTCATGTTTTGATAAGTAATTTATAAATTCTTAAATTTTATGTTTCACATTATACTGAGATATACTGTATTGTACGGGTTTCGATTGCCCGAGCAATACTTCCCAGTCATGCAAATGATTCTCGAGTATAATGAATCTATAAGTAATATTAAATTCAAAATCAAAACAAACTTAAAAAGTTATGAAAGTGAACATTTTAAATCTTCTCAGAATGTTAACGTTTGTAATTCGAATATTCGCAATACATCCTCTTCTATACATTTGCCTAAATTACGTATTCCCATTTTTAAGGGCGATTCTAGTTTATTTCAATAATTCTTTAATAGTTTCTCAAGTGCAACTGACTCTAATGAGTCATTAAGTAATGTTGACAAGTTCATATATCTAAAATCTTTTCTTTCTGCTGAAGCTTACAAAATTGTAAGGCTCCTCTAGACAAAATTGACCTCCTTACAAAATTGCTTCGTGATTCGCACCCACGGACGAAAATTGAAATTCATCAGTTTGGATTTGTAAAGGAGCCATGCCAACAACCGATTTCGGTTTCTAACTGTAACCGCACATTGATTAATTTAAATGTATGGCGCCGTGTTGCAATGGATTTGATAGGATTTATTGAAAATTCATCCAAAAATTTTGTTCTAGAGTCAAATGTTCCAACATTAGCAAAAACAGAGCCCTGTATGCTTGGAATCGATGAAGCTGGAAGAGGGCCAGTTCTTGGTAATAAATAATTTCACAAACTTAATGTTGAAATTAATATTGTATAAATCAATTAGAGGAAAGTGCAGAATCACCCACTGCTTGGCGCGTTTTTAAGAATGACACATACTCGGTATCCATGTCCACATCGACTTATTTTCATTTAAAAAAAATCCCAGAATGGCCCACTCTTTTAACTTTAGCCATGTACACATCCACCTATTTTCACTTAAAAAGTCGAAGAAAATTGTCAAAAAAAAAAACAATTCTTACTCTTGTAAAAAGCACCAAACAAATAGGTGGGCGATTCTGCGCTTTACCCCTAAATTATTCAAGAACTGTCTTTTTTTAAGCTGTTTCTAAGCTTACAATTTTCTCACAGTTTCTCTGCATCAATATTTTTGGAAGCACTTCCGCAGAGAACCCGGTAAATGTAAACATCGCCAACTTTGGCGATAATAGCTCAAACCTGGTAACCCATCGGATTTATTCTATTCGCTTGTTCGAAGTTTGCAACCATTCCTCTTGCGTTTATTTTGTCTAATTATCACTGTCATTTTTCGTATTTGCAGATTTGTATTATTTGGTACTATTTGGTTTTGAGGGCCGTAAAAATATTGCAGCGAAAATGTATGCGCAAAAGCGCCAAATCTATCAAACGCGCCCATTTAACAGCGCGCCAAATCTAGCATATGCGCTGATTTCAGATTGCGTAAGTTTATATAGTTCTATATTTCTTAAAATGCTATTGAAATACTAGTTTAATTTTTAAATCCTTTCTTGATATCCTATGGATTTAACAATTTGGGAATTGCACATGACGAAAACTCGGCAATAGAATTTTGGGTAAGTGCAGAATCACCCACTGCTTAAAGCGTTTTTAAGAATCGCACATACTCGGTATCCATGTGCACATCAACCTATTTTCACTTAAAAAAAAAAAAAAAAATCCTAGAATTGAACAAAAATGGCACTGCGCACACCCTTGACTTTATCTATGTATACATCAACCTATTTTCACTTAAAAAGTAAAAGAAAATTGACAAAAATCCAATTGTTTTTACCCTTGTAAAAAGCGGCAAACAAATAAGTGAGCGATTCTGCCCTTTACCAAGAATGTTTTCAAAGAAAAGGCATCATTCATTATAGAAAATTATGTTTGAACAGCCAACCAGATGAAATTAAGCTTTAGCGATAAGTCGGTAGCGATGGAGGCATCCATGCAGTTATGTTTAGCAATTTTAATATAAATTATAATAATGATCTGAAATAGTTATTTACTCTTATGCTTCCATTCAGTCATGTTTAACGTTTTTCATATAAATTATAATAATAAAAAAGTATTATATGAAATTAACCTTTCATCTAAATAAAAACATCAATCTTAAATAGCTATTTACTATTATACTTACTTTCTTGCCCCAATCATTAAGGTTGCCGCAATTATTTTTGGCAGCATTGGCGTCAACAATAGTTGGCGATTTTTTACAGTCCTCGAAACCGAATAGTACCTATTATTTTTCTCTTATTTATTATCCCCCCCGGGGGTCGACGTAGAGAACTCTGCGAAGCTACTGGTTAGGATCTGTACCTAGGCAATCTCGGCCACGGGGGTATAAAATTTATGAACTTGGTGGTTCTGAAGGCTCTGGGAAAGGTCACTTATTGGCTGGCCCTGGAGTCTGGCACGTCCTAGCGCGGCGTGGTTCTAGTAACCCGGGGGGTCTCCCCCGGGGTCGCTGGGTAATGTCCCGCTGCGACGGGCTCGCCCAAGCGACTGGTAGGTGCATTAGACGACTGGTGCTGCCTCGGGTGCGTCCCAGGTGGTGCGCTGCTCTCCTGGAGGGTAATAGTGGAGGTTGAACCACCATGATGTGCCCGAAGGGGGAGTGGACCCGGAATGAGATTGAGTTCTCAATACGGGGAATGCCTTAATCTTCTTCTTCTTCTTCTTCTCTTATTTATTATTAATTTTTCTGAATTTTTTAACAACAAATAGATAGAAATATTTTCGTAGATAGATGCCGGTTCTCGGTTCGGGATGAAAGAAGGGGTGAATGCTAATTTGTAACACGGTTGTACACGCTGTCTTCTTAATTATTAACAGCTCTAAGAACCATGAGGTTTCCAACTTCTAAAATAATTTGTTTTCGTAGATCGCAAAAATGTGCATGTGCATTTTAAATAATGGAAGCACTTCCGCAGAGAACCCGGTATATGTAAACATCGCCAACTTTGGCGATAGTAGTTCAAACCCGGTAATCCAGCCGATTTATTGTTTTCGCTTGTTCGAAGTTTGCAACCATTTCTCTTGCGTTCATTTTGTTGAAATATCACTGTTATTGTTTGCATTTGCAGATTTACATTATTCTTTTCTTATTTATTATTATTTTTTCTGAAATTTTAACAACGAATAGATAGAAATATTTTCGTAGATAGAGACCAGTTCTCAGTTCGGGATGAAAGGAAGAAAATACGGCGGGAGGGGTGAATGCTAATTTGTAACACGGCTGTTCACGTTGTGTGTTCTTAATTATTAACAGCTCTAAGAACCATGAGGTTTCCAACCTCTAAAATAATTTGTTTCCGTAGGCCGCAAAAATATGCATGTGCATTTTAAATAATTAAATAATGCTTTTATTTTTATTATTGGTTATTGTCATCTAAAATTATGAGAATAAATCAATTTTTATGGCGTAAAATTTTAACAAGATAATATATTGTTAATGCTTTTCTAACAATAACCTTTCAGAGGATGGTAGGTGTGACATAAATAGATGATTAAATTGAAATAAAAAAATATTATTGATTATCTAAGATGACAGAATAGTTTGATGCATCACCATGGTCATCAAAATTAGCAAACCACTGCTGATGTAAGGAATATATTGTTTTCTGTGTCGCTCAAGCGACTGGTAGGTGCATTAGACGACCGGTGCTGCCTCGGGTGCGTCCCAGGTGGTGCGCTGCTCTCCTGGAGGGTAATAGTAGAGGTTGAACCACCATGATGTGCCCGAAGGGGGAGTGGACCCGGAATGAGATTGAGTTCTCGATACGGGGAATGCCTTAATCTTCTTCTTATTATTATTTATTATTAATTTTTCTGAATTTTTTAACAACAAATAGATAGAAATATTTTCGTAGATAGATGCCGGTTCTCGGTTCGGGATGAAAGAAGGGGTGAATGCTAATTTGTAACACGGTTGTACACGCTGTCTTCTTAATTATTAACAGCTCTAAGAACCATGAGGTTTCCAACTTCTAAAATAATTTGTTTTCGTAGATCGCAAAAAATGTGCATGTGCATTTTAAATAATGGAAGCACTTCCGCAGAGAAACCCGGTAAATGTAAACATCACCAACTTTGGCGATAGTTATTTCAAACCCGGTAATCCAGCCGATTATCGTTTTCGCTTGTTCGAAGTTTGCAAACCATTTCTCTTGCGTTCATTTTGTTGAAATATCACTGTTATTGTTTGCATTTGCAGATTTACATTATTCTTTTCTTATTTATTATTATTTTTTCTGAAATTTTAACAACGAATAGATAGAAATATTTTCGTAGATAGAGACCAGTTCTCAGTTCGGGATGAAAGGAAGAAAATACGGCGGGAGGGGTGAATGCTAATTTGTAACACGGCTGTTCACGTTGTGTGTTCTTAATTATTAACAGCTCTAAGAACCATGAGGTTTCCAACCTCTAAAATAATTTGTTTCCGTAGGCCGCAAAAATATGCATGTGCATTTTAAATAATTAAATAATGCTTTTATTTTTATTATTGGTTATTGTCATCTAAAATTATGAGAATAAATCAATTTTTATGGCGTAAAATTTTAACAAGATAATATATTGTTAATGCTTTTCTAACAATAACCTTTCAGAGGATGGCAGGTGTGACATAAATAGATGATTAAATTGAAATAAAAAAATATATTGATTATCTAAGATGACAGAATAAGTTTGATGCATCACCATGGTCATCAAAATTAGCAAACCACTGCTGATGTAAGGAATATATTGTTTTCTGTGTTAATTGGAATTTAAGACAAATTTTTTCGTTTCTCACGTTTAACCGGTTAATTTCAATACATTAATACTAATTTATAATTTTAAATGAATTTTTATTTCCGTTATAAATGGTTATATATTGTCTTATGCTTAATATATTCTTTACTGTGCTAACTTGAATTTAATTCAAATTTATTTTCGTATATCACGTTTAACCGGTTAGTTTTACATCTACATGCTTATTATCTGTGAATTTTTACTACCATATGCTTGTTTTGTCTGCTAACTTGAATTTACATGCACTAAAAACCACGTTTACAAAATATCACATTTACGGCTCTGCTCATCGTCGATGAACCCGCGAGCTTGGCGAGTAAAAATGCAACAGCGCCAACGGGTTCTCTGCGGATGAAAACCCTAAATAATGCTTTTATTTTTATTATTTGTTATGGAAGCACTTCTGCAGAGAACCTGGTAAATGTAAACATCGCCAACTTTGGCGATAATAGTTCAAACCTGGTAACCTATCGGATTCATCCTATTCGCTTGTTTGAAGGTTGCAACCATTCCTCTTGAGTTCATTTTGTTGAATTATCACTGTCGTTGTTCGCATTTGGAGATTTATATTCTTCTTCTCTTATTTATTATTATTTTTCTGATTTCCCACGTTATTTTTTCTGAATTTTTTAACAACGAATAGATAGAAATATTTTCGTATAATTAAAGAAGTTTTCGTCGATAAATGCCGGTTCTCGGCTCCAATTTTTATGGCGTAAAATTTTATTAGATACTATATTGTTAACGCTTTTCTAACAATAACCTTTCCGAGGATGGCAGGTGTGACATAAATAACTGATTAAATGGAAATAAAAAATATTATTGATTATCTAAGACGACAGAGTAATTTGATGCATCCCCATGGTTAGCAAAATTATCAAACCACTGCTGGTGTAAGGAATACAGTTCAAATAACTCTTGAAAAATAATAAAATGTATAAAGTTCTAGTTTTAT